AAACAATGGAAAAGTACATCAACGAATCACTAGCTGCTGGAATAATTCGCCCTTCATCTTCCCCATTTGGCGCCGGATTCTTCTTCGTGGGAAAAAAGGATGGTTCCCTGAGACCTTGTATTGACTATCGAGGTTTGAACCAGATCACTATTAAAAATAAATACCCACTGCCTCTTCTCGCCTCTGCTTTTGAGCCCGTACAGGGGGCTACTGTATTTTCTAAACTGGATTTAAGAAACGCTTATCATCTCCTTAGGATCCGTGAAGGCGACGAGTGGAAAACTGCCTTCAAAACACCCTTGGGCCAATTCGAATACCTGGTTATGCCCTTTGGTCTAACCAACGCTCCAGCCTGCTTCCAGGCCCTCGTTAACGATGTTCTAAGAGACTTTCTCAACATATTTGTTTTTGTGTACATTGATGACATTCTCATTTACTCCAAGGACCTCGATGAACATAAAAGACATGTCCGTCTTGTTTTACAGAGGCTGCTGGAGAATAAACTGTTTCTTGAAAGCCGAGAAGTGCGAATTTCATCAACCATCAGTCACCTTTTTGGGGTTTGTGCTCGAGGGCGGCCAGGTTAAACCATCTGAGGACAAGATTAAGGCAGTTTTAGACTGGCCAGTTCCAGAGAACCGCAAACAACTACAAAGGTTTTTGGGTTTTGCTAACTTCTATCGTCGGTTTATCAGAAACTACAGCCAGACCGCCCTTCCGTTAACTTCTCTGACCTCTGTCAAACGCAGTTTTCAGTGGACTCCCGAGGCTCAAGCAGCATTTGAAAAATTAAAGTCATTGTTTTCCAGAGCACCAGTCCTCATGCAACCTGATCCAGCTAAGCAATTCATCCTAGAGGTGGATGCTTCAGATTCCGGTGTTGGAGCAGTCCTTTCCCAGAGACTAGACTCTGATCAGAAGATACACCCCTGTGCTTTCTTCTCTCGTAGGCTTTCTTCCGCTGTGCAGAACTATGATGTGGGTGACCGAGAACTCCTGGCCATTAAACTGGCACTGGAGGAATGGAGGCATTGGCTGGAGGGAGCTGAGCACCCGGTTCTTGTTTGGACTGACCACAAGAACCTGGCTTACATCCAGTCAACAAAACAAGCTAATCCTCGCCAATCCAGGTGGTCAATCTTCTTTTCTCGGTTCAATCTAATCATCTCCTACAGACCCGGATCCAAGAACGTGAAGCCCGATTCTCTCTCTCGTCTCTACTCCGTCGATCATCCCGAGACACCTGAACCTGTCCTTCCGGCTTCATGTACAGTAGAAATGGTCAACTGGGAGATAACTGACCTCATCAACTCAGCCCTGGCCACTGAACCCGATCCAGGTAACGGTCCATCTAATCGTACATATGTTCCATCTTCTGTCAGGTCCCGTCTTATCCAGTGGATGCATGCCGCCAAATTCTCTGCTCATCCAGGAGTCAGTAGAACTGTAGCTCTCATCTCCAGACGCTTCTGGTGGCCCACTCTCCACAGGGACGTAAAGGAGTATGTGTTGGCTTGTCCCACATGTGCCCGTAACAAAGCCTCACACCAACCTCCTTCTGGCCTGCTTCAACCACTTCCTGTTCCCTCGCATCCCTGGTCCCATATCGCCATTGATTTCGTCACCGGTCTACCTGTCTCCCGAGGTATGTCCACCATATTCACCGTTGTTGACCGCTTCTCGAAGTCCTGCCATCTTATTCCCCTCAGAAAACTTCCCACGGCCTTCCAGACTGCCCAGCTTCTCATCAAGCATGTTTTTCGGTTACACGGCATTCCCCAAGAGATCCTCTCGGACAGAGGCCCGCAGTTCATCTCCCAGGTCTGGAAGGCTTTCTGCTCTGCTCTCGGCTGCAAACCCTCTCTCACCTCTGGTTACCACCCCCAATCGAATGGTCAGACTGAACGCATGAATCAGCAATTGGAATCCACCCTTCGCTGCCTCACGTCCAACAACCCCGTGGATTGGAGCCAATTTCTACCATGGATAGAATACGCCCATAACTCCCTCAGATCTGCATCCACTGGACAATCCCCATTTCAGGTCAGTCTCGGCTATCAACCACCTCTTTTTCCCGCAGACGAGAGAGAGATTTCGGTGCAGTCCGTCAACCATCATATCCGCCGTTGCCAAAGGATCTGGAGGGAAACCATCGCCACTCTCAACCAGTCTTCAGAAGCGACTAAGCGCTTCGCAGACGCCCGGACGTCCCGCCCCCGAGTACACCGAAGGCCAGGAGGTATGGCTGTCCACTCGATTCCACTCTCCCCTAGATTCATCGGACTCTACAGGATCACCCGAGTCATCAACCCTTCAGCCGTCCGTCTCCAATTACCTCAGTCCCTCCGGTTCCACCCCACCTTCCACGTGTCCCAGATCAAGCCTGTCTCCTCGAGCCCTCTTTGCCCTCTGTCCGACTCCCCACCACCCGCCCTGGAGGTCGATGGACATCCGGCCTTCACGGTTCGCCGCATCGTGGACTCCCGTCGACGAGGTCGCGGATGGCAGTACCTCGTCGACTGGGAGGGCTACGGACCGGAGGATCGCCAGTGGGTTCCAGGCTCGTACATCCTCGATCCAGCCCTTATCGAGGAGTACTAGCGCTCCTGCCCATCAACCTCTTCCGGACCGCCAAGGGGCGGTTGTTGAGGGGGGGGGTACTGTTGGGAGCTGGAGAAATTCCACCTTTCTCCAGCAGAGTCCGCCGTGGATCCTCTGAGGGAGCCTCCTGCACAGCTGCAGCTCGTCTAGATCATCAGAGGATCCACTACTTAAGCTGTCTTCAGACCTTGCCTCAACGCCGCAGTGTTGTTCCAGTTGGTCAGCGCTTAAGCCTAGATCCTCAGTGTAAATCCATGACTTTTGAATCCAGCTTGGATTCTAACCCCTGTGTCTGTTTTCCAGGAAACCTGTGCCTCCTCTGTGAAAGCTCTGGAAGAGCTAACCTGCCGAGCCGACCCTCTGAGCCAAACCCGAAGATTCACAGAGAACCTCCAAGCAGCTCTGGATTTGAGCTGGGTAACCCAAAGCCAAGGTCTGTTCTAAGTAGACGTGAGACGCTGAAGCAGCTACGGACTCTGCTGATAGACTCTTCTACAGAACCAACAGTGACTCTCCCTAAGCTAACCTCAAGAACCCTCAAGGTACAATCAGTAGACTTCTGGAAGTCAAACCTCTGTTGGCAACGCTAACTGAACTGTCTCTCACACAGACTCCGGTGAACCAGAATCCAGGCCCCGAACCTGAACCAGAATATTCAGTGTGTTTGTGCAAAATAAAACTGTTAAACTTTCATCCTTGTGTCCGTCAGTGGTGTTCTGCATTCTTGGGTCGCTTTCAGTGAACCCATCATGACATAAGGACATCCTACATCCAGTGGACATTGTAGGACATCACAGTAAATAACTAATCAGGTCTCCGGTTTTATTAAAATAATGTGAGGTCTTAGGAATAAAGATGTAGCCTAAAAATATCCTCAAAGTTTATTTTGGGTCATAGAAAACACAATTTTTTATCTAGATTTTTGCCTCCATCGTCCGCCATTGCTGTTGAACCTTGACCAACCTACTTTGACCTACAATGGGTCATAAGAAATGGAGGGATGTTGGATGTTTTTAGGTGAGAATGTAGCTTTAAACTCAAACATCTGCTTGGTTGGTCAAGATTTTACTGAATATTAAAAATAGACCAGAGAACTGTTTATTTTTAATACAAGAAACTGCAGACCAGATAGCTTTATTCCTGAGACCTGATTATGTCCTCATTGGAAAAAAATTGCAATCTAGATCAGTCATTTTTCTTAAATAAGTGCATTTGTTCTTGGATTGAGGAGGTAAAAGAGCCTTTTTGCCAGTGGAACAAGACAATTTACATTTAAAATAAGAAAACACAATTGCATTGTCTTATTTCAAGTGCATTTTATCTAATTATCTTATTTTAAGAGTAAAAATACTCATTCCATTGGCAAACTTTCTCATTTACCTATCAAATTAAGGGTTAAATACACTTAATCTAAGAAATTTTTACTTATTTCTAAATTGTTTTTCCAGCCATCACATCTACATGAGAATACAGCTGAAAATAATACATTAAAGCTCTAGACTTAATAATAAACCTATAGAGAATCTGGATAAACATTCAATCTTGATAAAAACGTTGAGCTGAGGTGATCAGGTACGTCAGGTTTCCACAATCTAAGAAATATCCAAATGTTGCAGTGTTTGTAAAGCAGCTTTTTCACCTCAAATTAAAAAGAAAAAAAAACCTTGTTTGAGTTAAATAATCTATTTGTGGTGTTAAAGTGAGGGAGTCACTCTACCTCTATGACATTTCCCTTCAGGATGGACCTAGTAGGGAAGGCTTGAAGGACAACCTTGTTTATTAACATTCATTTAGTCTAATGTTAACTTTAGATTACTTTTATCATCAAGTAACAGACTAGGACATAATTGCTTAATGTTAATTTCCCCCAAGATGAAGATTTAATGCGAAATATAGATAAGCCTGCCATCATGAGTTCAGCAAGTGGAGGTGAGTGAATCCTTATCAGCACCAACAGTCTCTGCTTTGCCTCCCATGAGATCAGGTAGCATTATTAATTCAGTGCTGTGACTTCCTTGTAAACAGCAATTGTTACAAACAGACCTGCTAGCATTGTTGTTGGTATTAACTATACTCAGACTGTCATGTAACTAACAATGTAACAGGGACTCAGCAATAGTTTTACTTTAGCTATGGCTCTGCTAAGGCCTTTCTATTAAATTCAGTTTATTTCTTTTATCCAAACTGGGTATGTGTAAATAGGAGAGGTTATTCCTCAATGTTCGACCTGCAGTTGACAGATCAAGGCCCATCTACAGACATTTGTCTAACTCTGATTTCTGGATGATTGATTTATGCATTTTTCTTTTGTTTTCTAGTCCAAGTTTTCTAGTTTTAAAGACATTTTAATTTATTTGAATCTCCTCTCTTTCCCCCCTAATGATTTCCTCTTGTGTCAGACTCGCAGCATCGCGTACTAACCCCCAGGTCTTGGACATTGGGGCGATGACTAAAGACTGGCTCAACGAACCGGATGACAGGACTCATGGAAACAGTCTCACCAGTTTCAGCTCATACAAGGACTTTGGTTTCTGATGTCTAACCGCTGCACAGCAGAGAGGGACGATAACGCGAAGAAATCGAAGAGCGGAGGCTGTTCTTCCTTTAATTCAACGCAAGATTCAAATGTTTCTCATGGGGCAACAACAGGAGCTGCTCTGTGCAACCTTTTCACCCTGCTTTTGCACTTTTAACTTTTCATTTTGAACAAAGCTCTGGCTGCTGCATCTGCACACCAAAGTAATAATCCTGTATTAATGTTACGTCTCCCCACCTGTTACAGAGCAAGCATAGGTGTAGAGCGATCTTACTGCACAATCAGCCTTATGACAGCATTTGTCAATCTGTTTTTCACTATTTCTGGAAATAAGTATCTTACTCAGAAGTACGTAAGATGTATGCATTTGGTTAGATTGTATAGTTAGAGATTTTTTCTATGTATAAAGTTTAACTTGAGGATCAGACAACCTTAACGATTGCAGCATAAATCCTGTTATCCAGTTAATAATGAGTGCCTTTAAAGTGTACTTCTGATCCTCTTTTTTTCTAACTGAAATAAATCTATGTATAATTTGAAAATTTCTATTTTTATCTTGTGGCTTAAGGCATATTTTATTTAACCTATATTTTTGACCAATGCATTGAAACTTGAGTAACTCTCTCTACATAATTTCGTTTTTTAATCGAGCAGCCTTGCAGAGAAATAAAATTGATTGATTAATATAGATTTTTTTTAATTTTTGCTTGCTTGTTATGGTTTTGGCACACGTCTCAGATACGATGCATTAGTGAATGATGGAATCAGTTATTAGCAAAACGCACTGAACAAGTATTAAAAATCTGTGTAGAAAACAGTGATATTATCTTCTTATCTGACCAGACAGCTCTCTGGGTGCTTAGCGCCCCTAAACCTCTGGTCCTAGAACCGCCCCTGGTATGAATCATAAAAAAAAAGACATTTCATGAAGCATGTTAAAGCCTTTTAGTAGAAAATTTGACCAGTTGATAATGAGCCACATAGCATCACCAGCAGAGGGCAGCCCTATGCTATACAATGAAAGGAATATTGCACAGCATTTGGATGTTACTTAATTTATAAGCACCAACTCTTTAGATGTTCAGATTCTTCCACTCATCCCCCTCTGTTTTAAGGTCATCCTCCTACTGCTCTGACCTCTTCTCCTTAAAATGATCTGTATAGGTCTATAAACACCACTTTATTAGCTCTCAGAGAGCACGCTGTGATGTGCAGAGGATGTGTGGTGGCAGGCAGATCTATAAACCAGCAGAAAGCAGACGCACAGGACACCAGGTCCTGGCTCTGGTGGCCTCCCCACAGCATGTTTCAACACTTCCTTGACTTGTTTTGTTGTCGCCCTGTGAGTGAAGGCAGCACTCTGAAGGGCTGAAAGTCACGCGGCCTCCCCTCTAACAGGCTTTTGCTCAGTGAGCCAGGGGCTTTTTTTTTTACTGTTCGTCCCGACAAGCTTACTTAACCATTTGCATTATTTAACAGCCTTTCCTCAAAGGGAGCTCCAACTCTCTGTCTCCACTCTCTGTAAGTTTAATGAAAGCCAGCACAGGCAGAAGCAGGAAATGTCTTTCCATCCACTTAGAGAGAAACAGTAGGTGGACTATAAACGTTAAAGTAACGAGGAAGGGTGTTTAAGTACCAGGAAATAAATGTGAGCAGCAGAATATGAGGTGTGCATTGAATAAAAAAAAAATAAACGGTTTACAAAGTCTGCAAAATGACATCAATATAAATTTAGACCCCTTTTTTTCCTCAGATACTAAATAAAATCCTGACGAACTTCAGTCCAAATCCGCTTTACAGTCAAAATTAGAGTCTGCATTTGGCCATTTAACCCCACTTAATATTTGATGAACAAACATAATCCTGCAGACCAAAGAAAATAGTTTTTCTTAGAATAAATAAGTATAGGTTATAGCATAAAGGAATCCAATCAATTCTTAAAAATTGGAAAAATCTGGCATGCCAGCAGTGCTACTAGAGGTTCACCCACACTGGTCAGGCCAGGGGAGGGTTGTGGATTAAGAAAAATAAAAACATTAGCATAAAGCTCATAGTTAGAGTGGCTCAGGTTAAACTGAGTTATCTCTATAGTTATTCTGCTATAGGCTTATACTGCTGGAGGACATAGGGACCTCTTTTCATAATTCTGCTTTATTTTATTCTACATTATTTTTTAGACTTGCTGGTGGGGAGTCAACCAGCATGTCAGCTGTTTTTCAGTTTACTGTGTTTGCAGCTTTCAGCCAATATGGTGAATTTCTTCAAAAAAGGGCATGGTATTTTTGAGGGAATTGAGGTTTTGCTGTTATGTATTATTCTTCTAAAGTTATATTTTCGTTTATATTCATTTTTGAAAAGAGAATAGCATGCAAAATGTGCCTGTCTATATTTCTGGCATACTTGCTAAGGGATTGAGTTTTACTGTAATTTCTAAGGCTCTTGCACAAAAGGAATAAATAAGAAAAAGACGTGTGTTTTCTTACAGAATAAATAGAAAAGAAAGCAGAGAACCTGATCCAAACAGACACGTCCCATCTCCTCAGAGGCGGTAAGGGAGTGGGCATCAAATATTCTGTAAGATAAAAGGAATAGCTATTCACTTTGTGTTTGAGGAATCCCATTACCAGTTTGATGTCACTTTTATGTCAGCTTGTTAAAATCCAGGCTCCAGGCAGCTGCAAAGTTTATAAGTTTATAACTCCAAAAAAATCAAAATAATAAGGGAAAACAGCAGCACCCGTGTAAGCCGAGTGTATCCCAGGGTCCTGAGTGCCCTAGTTCAGTACTCTGCTTATTCATACAGCAGCTTTTTGGTTCATGTCAGCAAGAAACCATGTGTTAATAAACACTGAGCCGTAGAGGATGCTGTTCAGGGTATTATTATGTGCTAAATTCAACTTTGAGAGAAAATATCTCTGTAAGGAGGATTTCTATCATTTTAAGTGAACGAAAATATAGAACATTCCAACCCTAGCTGTAAATGTGTGCTGCAGACTGGAAAGGATAAACATTTTATTCAATAAAAGAGCAAATCCATTGGAGCATCTTATAAGTAATGCACATTAGATTTTACAATCCACCTGTGGTTTTTAAAACATAATTACCATCTGCAAAGATAAAAAAGAACAATATTGTGTGGATTGAAGCTCACTGGCACATTTAAATAAATCCAAGGTATGGTGAATATATATTCTGTTATTAGGAATGCTGGAAATAAGTCGTTAAAAAGTGAGTTTTTTCAGCTATGGTTTTATTGTAAAGCTACTAAAACATACCTAATTAATTTGGTAGGCGGCCTGCCATATTGATCTCTTATTGCAGCTCTACCTGTGCACAGTTCCTCCATCCTTTTCTAGGCAGAGTGTGCATCTTCATGCTAACGGCGTCATTTTTCCGACATGTGCGTCACATACGACTGCCTCTGCCATCAAAGTAGACAGCAACAACAAAAGTATAAGCATCATTAGGCTTTATCAGACTTCTTTGGCATCTTCAGTCATCATCTGTCGTTATGTTTACTTCAGTCATTAGAAAACCTACGTCAGCCCTTGGTTTGACACTGCACCATTAGCTTTTGTGCGGATTGGGGTCTGGCTTTTTCAACACCTGCTGTCGTCGGCTCTCTAGAGCTCCAGTCTAATTTATGTGTTTGGTTCCAGAGGATGCTTTGGAATGGCTCAGAGTGAGTCTGTCACTGTGTAATTATGTGTGTGTCTGTTTATCTGAGACCGGGTGTGTTATTAGGGGAATGTTATATTGATGCACGGTGCCTGCAGATGCAGACTCATAAACCAGCCTTGAGTTTCACACATTCATTGCAATCTAACCTTGTCACACCCCATATGCTGCAGGCCAGCTTTGACCACCCGCAGCCTTCATTAGCATTCAGGCAGACAACAGCTGTTACTGCCAAACTCTTGAGGCGATCTGGTATATGGGGTCACAGCGAGTCTTTCAGAGAATCCAGCTTCCAAATTGATGCACATAATACATTTTGACCAAATAGAAAACCATATTAGATGAGGAATATTTAATGTGGAAAATATTTAATTCAAAGATATGAGTTTGTTAAATAAATTCTCATTACCTTTACCTCAGATATGTGAACTGATTAATTCTATTTTGGTAAGACCTCTCATTATTTTTATTTTATTTTTATTAGTTTTGCAATTAAATACACCTGTAACCTATGTGATTAATTTAAAAAACTTGATTTTATATGCTTTTCTGTGAACAAATGCCCAACTGGCTATCTGCTCCACTAAAAACATGCAACTGCTTTTGGCATTTACTTAATCATATTTAGTTACTTTAACACAATTGTTTTATGTCCTAGCCTGCTAACATGAAACAGTTGTGTTACAGTAACTAAATATGATTAAGTCTTGCCTGTTTAAAAAAAAAATTGAATGAAATTAATGTGCATTGATATGTTGAGATGTTCTAAAATAGTATTTCTAGCTATTTATTCTTTTATCATGAGAATTTTACATAATTATTATATCTTATGATGGTTAAGGGGTACAGATGCCCTGCAAATGCATAAATACACAGTTAATTAAATAAAATCACAGTTAATACAGAAATGAGGATTTCAAACACAAAAGACTAGCAATAAAAATAAAATATTTGATTGTAACATTTGATGTAAAATGAGCTTTCTCTCCATCTACCACGGTTTCCTTTGTAAGCTCTATTTAGTAAGTTCATGGGAGAGTGAATCCGATCTCTGGACATGCATTTGGGTGTGATGCCTTATGGGCTCTTGTTCATCTGGCTACTGTGTTGGTGAATCTCCACTGCTGCCCCTCATGCATTATGGAGAGAATGTCTTTTTTTAAAGCTGGATCATAAAGGACCAGTGAAAAGTGCCTCTCAAACCCCAATCACAGACTCCACAGAAGAGCAAGTAACTAAAACCTTTGTATAGTGTGGCAAAAGGGGCCATATTAGAGTCAGAGTCACTCGGGATACGTAACTATTGGGGCCGTTTTCAACAGATGTGGGAATTTAGGTCTGCCAGGGGGGTTGAAACGCGCCCACAGCTGGCCCCATTTTGGCCAAAAAAGCCAACAAAAAAAGAAGTGTAGGTGTGTAGGTTAAGAGCAATGACACAGCATAGCTAAATTCTAGATTTAGCCACATTTAGTTGTGCAAATTTTCTGAGGATACTGACACTTAGGAGTGGAGACTCTCTCATCCGCTTCTCTTCTTGTCTTCCATGTTTGCAGGCTGCCACTCTTTTGTCAACATAAAATACTACTGCTGCCCTAAAATTCTCATAAGATTGCCTCTGGAACCTGAGAGTAAACGCAGACTGCACAATGCACCTTACCTCTAGTTTTGAATGGAGAAAACCTAACTAAGATATTGCTGATAGAAATTATTATTTTGACCAGGTTGACAAATGAAAATGGTTTTGGTCAGGCTTTTACCTAGCAATGCAAACAGGCGTACATTGTACACCCTTTTCTTAAAAAGATGACACATACACCCTGTTTTTGCGATGTATTGCTTTGGTTCACCCTAATTTTCCCCCAGC